AACTGTTAGCACTGACGTAGCAAAGGGGCACCTGGAGGGGTTGAATGTGTTGAAGTCAACAGACCTTGATGGTCTTCATCCTAGGGTACTTAGGGAATTAGCTGGAGTTATAGCAGACCCACTGTCCTGAACACCAGGGGCATCCAAGATACCTTAAGGGCAAAAAAAGAGGTGTACAGGAAATGGAAGCAGGGGGTAGCTAGCAAAGAGGAGTACACTTCTTTGGCTTGCACGTGCAGGGAGTCGGTCAGGAAGGCCAAGGCAGCTCTAGAGCTCAGGCTAGCATCAGGGATTAAGGACAATAAAAAGTCCTTCTTTAGGTAAGTTGGGAGCAAAAAGAGGGTGCGGGGTAGCATAGGACACATACAGGACAGGCAGGGGAGCTTAGTGATGGATAGCAGGGACAAGGCAGATCTCTTCAATGAGTTTTTTGCCTCTGTCTTCTTAAATGGGAATCTAGACTAACCCTCAACATACATCACAGACATCAACAAGGGGAACATCAGCTGACCAACGGTCAGTGCCGACATGGTAAAAAGACACGTGGAGGGACTGGACGTATTCAGATCACTGGGGTCGGAGGGACTCCACCCATGGGTAATGAAGGAATTAGCAGGGGTCATAGGTGATCCACTGGCAAGGATATCTGAGTGCTCATGGTACTCGGGTCAGGTCCTGGAGGATTGGAAAAGGGCTAACGTCATCCCAGCCTTTAAGAAGGGGAGGAAGGAGGACCCGGGGAAGTATAGACCAGTCAGCCTTACCTCTATCCCTGGGAAAATCCTAGAAAAAAATTATCAAGGAGCATATCTGTGGGAGCCTGCTGTCTAATGTGATGCAAAGGGGCAACCAACATGGGTTTATAGCAGGCAGATCCTGCCTGACTAACCTAGTTTCCTTTTACGACAAGGCCACCAATTGTTTAGATGCAGGAGTCAAGGTGGATGTTATCTGTCTGGACTTCAAGAGGCCTTTGACACAGTATCCCATACCATCCTTACAAATAAACTGAGGAGATTTGCCTTGGATGATTACACGGTAGACTGGGTAGCAAACTGGCTCAAGGGTTGCACTCAGAGGGTGGTGGTGGATGGGTTGGTGTCAACCTGGAAAGATGCAGGCAGTGGAGTCCCTCAGTGGGGTGAAGCTAACACCCTGGAGAGGAGGAACCAGATCCAGGCTGACCTCGACAGGTTGGGGAAGTGGGCAGAGAGCAACAGGATGCAATTCAATAAGGACAAGTGCAAGGTGCTGCATCTAGGGGGGAACAACTGCCATCATACCTACAGGCTGGGGGGCGACCTTCTCAGCTCCACTGAGGCAGAAAGAGATCTTGGAGTCACTGTTGACTCCAGGATGAACATGAGTCACTAATGTGATGAAGCAATCGGCAGAGCCAATCGCATCTTGTCGTGCATCCGTAGGTGCTTCACAAACAGGTCCAGGGAAGTGATTCTCCCCCTCTACGCAGCACTGGTCAGGCCACAGCTGGAGTACTGTGTCCAGTTCTGGATGCCGCAGTTCAAGCAGGATGCAGACAACCTGGAGAGGGTCCAAAGAAGAGCCACTCGTCTGATTAGAGGCCTGCAGGGAAGGCCCTACGAGGAAAGGCTAAGGGACCTTAACCTCTTCAGCCTCTCCAAGAGAAGGCTGAGAGGGGACCTTGTGGCGGTGTACACATTCATAAGGGGAGAGCAACATGAAGTAGGCGACGATCTGTTCACCAGGGCACCCCCTGGAACGACAAGGAACAATGGCCATAAGCTACTGGAGAGTAGGTTTAGGCTGGCATTAGGAGAAAGCTCTTCACGGTCAGGGCTGCCAGGATCTGGAGTGGGCTCCCAAGGGAGGTGGTGCTCGCCCCATCCTTGGGGGTCTTCAAGAGGAGACTGGACAGGCACCTGGCTGGGCTCACATGACCCCAGGGTTGGTGACCCTTTTCTTGCCTGCCAGGAGCAGGGGGTTGGACTAGATGGCCCACTGAGGTCCCTTCCGACTCTAGGAATCTCTGATGATGATTGTAAGCAAGTGTGGATTTCCATGATTCGTAGAAATCGAATAGCTGGGAATGGATCATTTTAGGAGACATGTGCTACTGAAAACAATTCTTTTTTTACCCTAGATTTCCCTTCTTCATTAGCCATATACCCCTAGCATCTTGCTCACTATCTGAACCATCCCAACTGGTCTCAAACCTTCTTCCCACCTTAAAATGTGTCAAAACCCATAAGCATTTAAAGGAGAACTTTCAAATATGATGAGTGGCCATCTACACATCATAGTAAGGTGCTTGGGCAGGGGTGGGCAAAATACGGTCCATGGGCCAAATATGGCCCACCAGGCCATTCTATCTGTTCCGTGGGGTGTCTTAAAAATGTATTAAATTAATATTTATTTGCTCCTGACAACCTGTCAAAGCTGACAGGAGCCAGGGGCAGTAGGACCCAGAGGGAGCCCTCAGCAGGCTTGAGCAGCCCAGCCCTGCCCACCTGCAGCCATTCCCTGCTTTTCTGCCCCCGCCCTTCTCCAGCACCAGTGGCTCCCAGCTGCATCCCTGGACTGTGGAGCACGGGATCACACTGGTATGGGGCGGGGGGTGTTGTGTGCATTCATAGGGTAAGTCCCACACACACACTCCACCATACACATGCACCCACACTCCCCCTTGCACTGCTATACACAAACCCCACATGCTCCCTCACTCCACATACCCACCCACCCACAGCACCCCACAAACCTATACCCGCCCCCTACAACATACAAGAGTAAGACTTCATTTACGCTATTGTGCTTAATTTAAGTTCATTAAACTTCATTTAAGTCACCTCTGCGCACACTACACAAACGCATGTAAATCAGGACAAAATATTTTTTGAAATCAAATTAATGAATGTTGTAGATGTTCGCTTTTTAGAATATAATTTGGTATTTTTTGGTTCTGAGATGGCAAAACCCCTTGCGGAAAGAAGTACTTTTGGGGGCAAGGGGAGGGACTTTGGGGAGTTAAGGGGTGGGACTTCCAGTCACAAGATGGCAACCCAGGGGGCGGGGAACCTGTCAAGGGGTGGGGCTACTCATGCAGCCCTTGACAGCTTGCCAAAACTCAGTAAGCGGCCCTCTGCCCGAAATAATTGCCCACCCCTGAGCTTGGGTTTGTCAAAGCATAAAAAATAAAGTGATCAGACGTTACTCCCCTGCATTTTGGTCACCCTGGGATGCTTTGAAATTGGGACTAACACTGGAAAAAATCAATATGCAACATTAGCAAAAGCCCTTATGTGTTTTAAAACGTATCTGAACTCTGTAGCTATATAATCCATGTTCAAATCACAAAAATAATCTCTCCACTCACTAAACTCCAAGGACATGCAGGAGCACCTTGATTTGTCTACACCAGCATGCATCCATTTGTACCCTGGCACATACGCCTTCTCCAACTGTTGAGTTCGTAATGAAAAAATAATTGAATTTTCACAAAGAGAAGTTTTCAAACACTGAACTTCCTTTTATAGCAATTTAATTTAACAAACTTGTGAGCTACATCCAGTAAAAAAACAAAAAAAACAACAACCCCAAACCAAACCCAATGAACTTGGGGACTATTTTTAGTACAATCTTAGAGCCCTGATGAATGCAGTGAAGTTGTATGGGACGGACACTATTGTTGGGAAAGAAAACAGGAGCAAATGCAATCCCTTTAAATAGAAAAAAATTACATTACATTGGAAAGAAACAAAAATACACGTGGTCAAGTCATGAGCTGCATTTTACATACAATTTATGCAAAGGAATTTCCCTTGTCTTCTTGATTGATTGTGTCACACCAGGCGTGTGATCTGGCACATACAAAAAGTGTTGCTATATTGGGAACAATATGCCTGCATTGCACAATATCGTTTCATTGATACTGCGCTCAAGTTCCATTCAAACCAACGGGAAAATCCCATTCACTTGAATGCAAATAAACCGGTGTTCGCTGTCTCCAATTATGTCATCGTCTTTTGTTTCCTGAGGAGTAATCAACAAAGGAAGCTCTACCCAAAGGTTTCTGACCTTCTTCCAGGAACCAATATAATAGTAAATCCTTCCTGGTACACTGAGGGATTAACATACAGTCATTCCTGGAACCCTGATAAAGAAGAACGATATCTGCTGTAGTATGCATGTACCCTTTCTTTGTACAATATTGGATATTCTAGTTAAAAGAATAGACTAACTTGAACAAAAGTGAATCTATAATAAGCAGAAAGATTTAAAAATTCTTAGGAACGCAAGCAAAACCTTAATCAACCCTTAAACTCGTATAACATATGGGAATGGTGTGCAGAAATCCAGTTGTCATTAACAATCCAGTTTGCCATTTATGCCTTCCTGAGAAATAACAGAGAGAAGGTAAAACAGCAGGCTATGCAACCCAAACGCGCCGTTTGTCTCGCGGGCTAGAAGAGGACTCTGGACTTGTCATCGATCCCTACTAATGGTCCAGTAGTACTTTTAATTCAACAGCCATTTCCCTCCCTCCATTCTTGGTTTGATCTCTCTACCTCTTACCTTCTGCCAAGACACATGCATGCAGACATGCAGCTGCTTTGCACAGAAAACCAGCAGCAGTATTAAAAAGTAAAGAGTAATCAGATGTGCTGAGTACTGAGGGATCTGCAAGCCTAATACTTTGGGTGGTAAAGACTAGTTCAGGTATCTGTCTCTTCCTTGCACCTTCTGATGGGCCTCAGCTTCTTGAATTATGGAGAATGAAGTTCGGTGTGTAAACATACGTATGCATATTTTGCCAGCGTCAAGTCCATTGCGGAACAAAACCATCGGCTGCGCTGTTTGGAATGACAGATGCTCACTTACACACATATATATAAAATAATAAAAAGACCCTGTTGGTTTTGTGCTGGCCTGCCAACACTTAACAGGAGGCTGAAAGTGTCAAATGATAGCACCATAAACCCCTCCG